GCCCCTGCCTTGCCCGTGGCATGCATTAGTATATTCCCAGAATAAAAGAATAAGAAGGAGCTGCAATCGTACCATGCATTGCACACACCAAATCAGTTGTAAACTCAGGCCTTGGTCCTATAACGTCAGAAGGTCTCCTTGACTCTTGGTAAGAGCAGGACCCGGGCTGGGATGCGGGGCTCACACCTGGATGCCTGGGGCTTCATCCAGTCTGGAGAGAGAATGACTCAGTGGTCTTTCTGTTAGAACACTTCTGGTCTCATTTTTGTGCTCAGGGTGTAATGCTGCTCTGTGGTCCAGGCTCTACCGGGGAGGCCTTCCTTGGTAAATGAGCCTGCATTTAATGTTACGTTGCATCCCAGGCATGGTGTGTAGAAGAAAGGGAAACCTAACTGCCTGGTAGAACAGAATTAGGCAGGGGAGAAAGCAACTGCGGGAGAGACTTGCGTCGTTCCACCACAGAAGGCATGGATGCTAGGAGACAAGGATGGAGCCCTATATTCTTCCAGACGCAGTACCACCCAAACCTTCACACGCTGAAAGTGGCTTAGCATGTGTGTGTGTGTGTGTGCGTGTGCACGTGTACTTGTGTGTGCATGCGTCTTTGTGCATATGTGCACACCTGTATGTGTGTGTTCACATGCACGAGCATGAGTGTGAGCGCACGTGTGTGTATGTGTGTGTGCCCTCTCTTCACCTCTCCCCTCTTCGTTCCCATGGACTCTGTTACTTCCCTACGGGTTTCTTCTTCTTCAGAAAAACGTAGTCTTTTGGGTGGCCCAAAACACAGCATTCCTGGAATCTATTGAATGGTTGATTTGGGGAAAAATATGTCTACATATCAGATTGGCTCAAATTTAGGTGATGCTCATCTGACACACACTGCTTCTGTTGGCTGATTTTTGAGCGCATGGGCAGCATGGGGTTCTAGGATGAATGATTTTAATCTTACTACAGTATCAAAACATTTGGAATCTTGGTATTCATCTGTATAAAAATGTGGTTCCTTATCTTGGAAACTTTTGCAATCTGAATGTCTGTGAGCCTCAATAGTGTGCATAAGGGCACAGTGCCGGTTATGGTCCATAAACCCCATGCAAGGGGCACCCAGCCCAAACGCCCACCAAAGTGCTGCTCTGCTCCATCCTCTGCTCTCTCAGCTGAGCTGCTGGCCTCGGCCACATGGAGTCCCTCTGGCATCCTGCTTGGTCCAGCCCAGAGCTCCCAGGTCACACAGAATCAGAATCTGTCTGCTCATCAGAGCGTTGCAAAATGGGAAGGAAAACAATCCACCCCTGGGCTTTGTACTCACCAAGTTCCTGGGCTGGGGGAGTCCCTGGGGCCCCAGAGTGGCCCCCTTTGTATTCACACTCACACATTCTTTTGTGCCCCTGGGTTGAGACCTGTTGACAACTGGCCATGACTCTGTATGCAGAGCAATAACTCCCTCCAACGTTGGACTCTGGGCTGAATCCAGCTAGCCACAGCAGACTCCTATTTCATTAAAGTGTGGATTCATGGATTTCTCGGAAGGGCCCCCAAAATCCTCTTCCAATTCAATTTCTGTTTCCTCTGGTCTGACAACATGGCTGTGTATGGTTGAAACCCAATCCTGGACCTATTCAGGTTACATGCAGGGTCAGTGTAAGGACCCAGGCATTTCATGAGGAGCGACACCTCCCACTCACCTTGAGTTTACTTTATCTGCAGTCTTCATGGTTGAATTTCAATCACTATCTATTCCTCTTATTTTAGGAAGAAACTCGGTCTCTGTTCTTTTTGACTCAGGTATTATCAGAAGGTACTGAGATTTGAAAGGAATGTACATGATCTGACACCCAGGACCACAGGTAGAGGGTTCAGGAAAGGCGAACGTGACTGCCCCCCCCCCCCACCACAGCTCCTCCCCAGGAAGGTGGACGCGGCTGATTCATGGCACTCCCATTCTGCAGGCACCAGGCAGATTGGGGCTGGCCTAGAACAAGAGATCTTCACTTCCCCCGATGCAGAGCATGGCTTGACTTTGACATGAGGTCTGTGAAGTGACTGGTCCAGTGCCCTGTGGATATTCTCAAATATGAGACTAGATATAAGTCATCTCACTCTAGCATTTGCTCTGCTCTGTTTTTCTGTTTCCACACAACTCTAATTACTCAACGTGTTATGCTGATGGTGGTTTCATGGGTGTAGACAGATGTCGAAATGTATCCAAGTGCTCTCTGTAAATATGGGCAGTTTATGTGTCCATTATACCTCAATAAAGCTGTCTTAAAATATTTTGCAATGTTATGGGACATGTTAACCCAGGATATTCATTGCATAGGAAAAGCCATCCTGCCATCAATAAAGCATTCCAAAGTCTGTAGGTGGAACTTAAAAATTATTTACAATGGATTGTCAAATGATTTTTCACTGCAGACGACTGTGACCTCAGCTGTCTTCTGTTAGTTATCCACAAATGGTAAGAATTGCAACCCAGAGTCCCGTGAACACTAGTTTAGAGTTAAAGCCACACACAGGCATGAAGTCCTGCTTCTTCTCCCACCTCCTGCCCTGCTGTTAGTTGCATGGAGAAGACCAGATTAAAGAGTTAAAAGGAGGGATGTTTGGTATGGTTCTGGTTTTCTTTGCTCCGAAGGTCTTTGTCTTCAAGCCTTATCCTACAGCCCTCGCCTTTGCCCCTTTACACGTGGCTCGGCCCTTCTACCTGTAATGTTCGATGGTTCCCCAGCCTAACAATCTTCGGTAACGAGAGCAAACTTCTGTCACTCTGGTGAAAAGGAGCTCAGCTAAGCCCCACATCCTCCTTTACACATTTCTGAATTAAACCGTACATCATCATCTCTGAAGATTTTTTTTATTCTGGTTACTACTATAAAACCTCAGCACACTGCAGTTTCTCCCTATGGGAACAAGTACATTCTTGACGCTTTGTGAACAATGAGAATCTCACAGCTACTCTCCCACAGCCGGCCAGATCCACATTGTGTCAATTCACATCCCAGTGCCTCGGAGGCAGGAGCTCTGCTAGGAAGGTGTGGTTCCCAGAATCTGCGCAGAAAAGGCACCCTTGATTTGCTTCTTCATTGATTTACTGCAATGCTGGGCCCCTGAACGTGTGGATCCAGACTTTGGGGTTCTCAAGTCTTGTTAACCCTGATGGCATTCACCTGTGCAGCTCTCTCCTTTGGAAGTACCCAGGGCCATGGGCAATGCCTACTGGATAATTAGAACTCATCTCACCTCTCCCTCTCTCTAGAAATCTTTTCAGATGGCAAATGAGAGATCTGAGTCTACTCATTCTAACTTATTTTTAAGAAAAGGTAAAACCGAGCAAGCTCTGATGGACCAGTGCTTACAGTTCAGCACGTTCTGCCTCGGCGGCCCAGATTTGCTTCTCGGTTCAGGAACCCCATCACTCATCTGTCAGTAGCCATGCTCTGGTAGCAGCAGCTCCCGTAGAAGAACTAGAAAGACCTACAACTAGAGGAAGATTGACAACAGATGTTAGCTCAGGGTGAATCTTTCCCAGCAAAAAAAAAAAAAAATAGATTGTGATCAGAGAAGAGTGGGTCTCTTGTACTCTGAATAGGACTATAAGAAGTTTCTTTTTTAAAAAAAAAGGTAAAACCCTCCTCATGCTTTAGTATTTAAATTCATATTTAGTGTAACAAACCCCTTGCAACAACAGAAGAGCCGAAGTTGAAAACTGACCCAAGCCATTTTGGTATTTCCAGCCCTCAGATTCTTAATGGAAGATGCCAGTTGGCACTGGTAGTGATGGCACAGGGACCTTTCCCATCTCTTTGCTCCCCAGGTACCTTGTAAATGAAGGAGTCTCACACCAAATCCTGCAGCACAGACAAATGTTTGTCAGGAAGCGGGAGTGAAGAGGCACATCCCAATCTGTGAATGTGATGAATGCCCTTTGCCATCCTCTCAGGGGTTCTGTTCATCACCCCTAGTGAAACATTCACTCAAGAAAGGCCCAGATCATTCTAGAAGCGACGTTCAGCTGAGCTTTGAGTCCCACCGGATGTGGCTCCCAGAACCAGAAAAAAATCGCTGGAGGGTTTTACCTTCTGCACACCACCGTGTAGAGCCCAGGATTTTCTAGCCAGTTCACCTTTCTTAAGCTCCATTCATTTCACCACTGAAACACCATGTCTACACCCATTATTCTGATTGCAAACCCTCTAGGGGGGCCAGCAATATAGTTGAAGGACCTACAGTGGCCATTTGTGGAATATGGGATTTTGATGTTTCTTTCACATGTTGAACACTTCTGAAGTGTGTTATTGATCAGGGTGCCTCTGATGCTAACTGTCACCCCTGGGATGCAGGTTAAAACTAACACACTCATACATCATGCCGTTTATGTTAAAGAATGTTAAAGTGAATGACAGACAATATAACACCAGATGCCACTGTGTCCCACAAACACCTTTGAGACCCACAGGTCTGACAAAGGAACCGGCACAATTCCTGGCCTGGTCTTAGGAGGTTTGTAGCTAAACTGAACATAGGTCAGCGTCATATGAAGCAAGTGTGTTAGGCTAGCTGTTCCCCCTGCACAGCCCCTCTCGCCTTCATCTCATCGCCCACCCCACCAAGACACACACACTCACATTTAGGGTCTGGTTGGAGGTGCTAGACTTGACCTCTCCTTAGGAAAATCTACTGAGTCAAGTCTGACTCTTAATCCCCCTCCAGTAGCTAATTCTCAGAGTCCACCAGACAAGACCAGAAGGAGGGTGTTCTAGCTAACGTAAGTTTTTGACCATCACATCTCTGAATCCACAATTGGGAGCCATGTTTGTGCATGGGCTTGTGTGTGCACACCCACACCGAGGGTCAGTTGCAGCCCTGATCACACCATGCCTATCTCTGTAAATGATCTCTCTCTGATCGGAGACTTCCAGGGAGAGCCCCGCTCCTGACTACGAGGGCACATTTCAGTAGTAGTTGAAGTTAACACCATATCCTGTTGTTCTCTCCAGCCAGCTGCCTCCCCTTCACACTTAAAAGTGGGAGCAAAGGACCTGCTTTGCTGACACTGAGAAGCAGGACAGACAGCCTGGAGCAGATGAGCAATGACCCAGCGGAAGGCAGCTTGGACTCCTGCAGTGCAACAGGTACCGAGGAGTCCTGCCACGCTCCCACCTCCCCGGAGACTCTTCTTGTCCTTCCCTGATGTCCTCTCTTTGTTCTGAGTGGGGGCCTCATGGACAAAGTGGCCAAGAAAACTGTCTGTGATTGGGAAAGATATGGGAATTCTCATGCTAGAATAGTGTCTGGGAATATCGACAAGCCTTACTTGAGTTTTCTAAAATATCTCCATGACTTTTTTTCTCTTATTTATTTTTTCTATTTTTGGGGATCTATTGACATCTATACTTGCTTTTTATCCCTTTATTTTCTGAAGTCAGTCCAGGAAGTTTCTTGATTAATACCACTGCCAAATTAGTGATTTAATACAGTCATGCACCACGTAACGATGTTTCGGTCAACGACGGACTGCATATACAATGGTGGTCCTATAAGATCAGCTCTATACCTCCTAGGTGTGTAGTAGGCTCTACCATCTAGGTTTGTTTAAGTACAGTCTGTGATGATGAAATTGCCTAAAGACGCATTTCTCAGAACGTATCCCCGTCGTTAAGCGATGCATGACAGTATTACAGTGAAGAATAACGTTCTTAATCACGGTCAAGCAAGGGCATTCTCAACACAAAAATAATTTACGTTACTTTTATCTGATGGCTTTTATGGCTAAACAAAGTATTTGGGAAAAAGTTCCTGATTTATTGGAAATTTTTTCATGTAATGAGACTATTACAACCTCGGAAGGAAAGTTCCTAAAAGACAAAACAAATGGGCTTCTCTCTATTCCTAATGTAGAGAAGGTGGTGACCATCTTTTGAAGTGGTCAATTTGGATGTTTAGGCATGTTTATAATAGGAAAACATTTATAACTTTTTAGCTGTCTATTTTTGTATATTTATTAAAACCAAAAGGACTTTGCACAGGGCCAATGGAGGACTCCGTGGAGCTGACAGCGCTGCTTGAGTGGCAATGGCCATTCTTTCGTCTATAGGGATTATTTAGTTCCTGCTATGTGCAGTTTCGATTATTGGCCCTGGGAGTTCCCTTAGGACCAAGATAGAGCCCCTGTCTCCATGGGCTCACATTCTAGTTGGAGAACAGAAAATAAGCAAACAAATAGATGCTATAGTTTCAGAAAGTGAAGAAAATCAAGCAGATGAGGGGTGACAGTGATGAATACAGGGGACGTACTGGAGGTGGAACAGTCAGTCGTAGAGGTCTCAGAGGGGGTGACATGAGAGCAAAGGCATGTGTGCTCACACGTGAGGATCTGGGAAAAAGAGCTCCCGGCAGAGACGTGAGCACCGAGGCAAGTGTGAGTTGGTGTGTTCAAGGAAGAGCAAAGAAGGCCAAGCAGCCGAAGCACAGTGAGCAGGGGAGTGTGGAGGAGAGGCGATCACAGCTGTAGAAATGAGCAAGATCATATGGTCCTTGAAGGCTACAGCTGATGGTCTTCAATTGTTTGGAAAGCATTAGGAAATTGGAAGCAGAAGAGTGCGTCCTAGGTGTGTAGTAGGCGGTACCGTCTAGGTATATTTTAAAAGACTACTGGGGCTTATGTGAAGTAGACCAGGAGAGCAAGAAGGGAAGCAGAGATTCAACAAAGAAAGGAGAAATGCCATGGCTTGAGAAAGGACAACAGCCCTAGAATGGGGGAAGTGGAGTCGGGGACCCATTTGAATACATGGTTGATGGGTCTTGCTGAGAGATTTCAGGGGAAGTACAAGGAAAGACAGAAAAGGACTATTTCTAGTTCATTGTTCTGTTTTGTTTCGGTCTTTTGTCCTGGGCCTGTTTGTATGATGGGGAAGAGCAGGGAAGATGCAGGTTTGCAGAATGGAAGAAACTAAGAATTGTGTTTTGGACATGTTGAGGGTGAGAAGGCTTTTAGATATCCGGAAGACGTGGAATAGGCAGTGAAATGTGTAATTATGGTGCCGAGGGGACTGATAGGGGCTGAAGATACACATTTGGAAGTCCCAAGAAGATGTGTGGTGTTTGAAATCATCATACTGGTTGAGATCTCCTCGAGAGAGATCAATGTTGATGAATGGCTGAGAGATGAGCCCTGAGCATTAAGCCTATAGAGTTGGGCAAGTGGAGATGCCAGCAACAAAGGCTGCAAGGAAGGAGGGAGACCAGGCGTATGGTGGCCCAGAAACCAAGCGGCAGAAACATTTCAAGGAGAATGGGAGCAACTGTGATGAACACATGGGAGAATTGATGATAGGCCTTGGCAATGTGGGTTCCATGTTGACCTTGAAGAGAGCTCTTCAGCGCAGGGGCAGGAGGAAAGCCTGATGGGGGAGGTTCCAGGGCAGGATGGGAGGAGAAGGATGGAGGCAGCAAGTACAGAGAACTCTTCCAATGAGTTTTGTTTTAAAGAACAAAGAAGTGGGACAATTGCGGGCGGTGGATGTAGGGGTCAAGAGGGTTTGTTGCTTTTTTGTTTTTTAATGTGGGGTAGGAAAGATTGGCTGAACTCAACTGGCAGCAAATGGTGATTGTCTTAGAGCTAAGTGGAGATTTTCTGTCATCTGCAGGAGGATCAAGAGCAAAATCAGTACCTTTCTTTTCAGCCTTGATCATAGGGAGAAGGCTATTATCCCTCCAATCAAGAGACCTTAATAAATAAAGACACTAGGAAAAAAGACACTAGGAAGCTACACACACACACGCAAAATTAATTCCAATGTCAAATTCAAGTCCAATGGAAACGAATGAAACTGTCCTTACCTTATGGGGTAGTCACTTGCCCTATGTGGCTATTATAATTTAAGAAATTTAATGTAATTAAAAATTCAGCTTCTCAATCACACCTCCCCCCCATTTCAAGTAGCCACATGTGGTGAGTGGCTACTTTGAGAAGAGCACCAAAGTGGGTTATTTCCACCATCACATTCCATTGGGTAGTGCTGTTCTGAATCCCAAGGGACAGGGTATTTGGAAGGAAAGATTAGCATGGAAGAAGAAAAGATACATGTGGGAGGAGGGAACAAAGTAAACTGACAAGTGATTTGACTAAAATCCTGAATAAAGTGTAAGAGAAACATGGTGAAAGCAAGACCAGGCATTTGAAGAGTTAGGAAATAATAAAACATAGACGGCGCGGGAGAATTGAAGACATGAATGCCAAGTCGACAGCTGCTAACCAGAGTTTAATGCGAGAGAAAAAAATAGAACACAGAGAGCAGTAAAAATACAGTAAAGGCAGCTCTAACAATTATATTTCAAAATTTTTTTGTAATTCAATTCTTTGCAATCCAGAACAGGATTCTTTTGAAACTGAGGCTGTTTAATAATTTAGAGAGGAGTTTCCATCCGCTACCCACAGCATCCTTGAATCGTGGGCCTATTAGCGTCTTCACCTGTGACCTCTGGGGCTTAGAGAAGCTAGTTTCCTAAAGAACGGAAGGCCGTGTGGGAGGTGGACCTTTGCGTCCCGGTTCAGTGCTCTCTCTGGAAACTCGGTGAGCAGGGGCCTTGACTAGAGTCTGAGCACCCCTTCTGAGCAGAGAGGAGGAGTCTGTGCCAGCCCCGCTTTGGAGCAGGACCAGGGTGGGACTGGGGAGGCCCTTGGGCATCCTGGAGCAACCTTGCTTAAGGTTCAGGAACCAAAACGTAGCATTTGATCACGGTTAGTATTAGCACCATACTAGCTATGTTCAGGGTCAAATAGAATTTTCTGGGCTTCCTTCAGGAATCCTTAAAGGATTCTTCAGGATTTTAAGACTACCATTTCCATGGAGAAATATTTTCCGTGTGATAAACAACTGACTTGAAACAAACTGCTGGATCACAACTTTTTTCTGCTAATGTCCCTAGATAGGATTACAGGGCTAATGTTTTTCAAACACTTAAGTAAATTCTAAATCACTTGCTCTGATAGGGACAGCCCTGGGATTAAGGCTAAGAAGAGTGTTTCATCTTTTAAAAACTCTTTCCAGAAATCTGCTTTTCCCTGAATGAAACCATATAAAACTGTTATTCGTAAGTCTTTTTCTCCATAAAGCCTAGAAGGCAAATAGAAAAAAGATTTTAATATCTCCTAATACCGGTTCCCAAAGGATCCTTTTATCAGGTAATGAGAATTAATTACCCTTCAAGTTTTCCCTGTTTGTCTTGGCTGCCAGGAAGCTCCTAGCGAAATGTATTGATTTAATCATAGTCTTTGAAGTTTTAATGGGGAGGAAGGTTAGCACTGAGGCCAAAGAGAATCATTAGGCTAGGGGAAAGGGACAGGTACTTTGACTCTGGTTTAATCCCTATCTTTAGCTGAGTAGAATCAGAAACTGGACTTTATCAATTACCCTACATAATATCAGACTGCTACCTTAAGTACCAGAACACTAATTTATTAACTTATAATCCTAATAATCTCCTTCTAATAACCAGAATGTTCCTGTCCATGATCCACGAAAATCTCTTTCCTGATTTAAGATATCTGGGAAATCAAAACAGTATCCAAAAGTTTGCTTAGGGAACATAGAATTAAGGCGAAGGGAAGCAAATACTTTGAAGGATGCTTCATCCAGACCACAGTAATATCACTGAAATACTCTTGTTGCCCAATTGAGAAGGTTTTTCTGGTGACAAGGATGCTTTTGTGTCTCAGACTTTATCTTTTTCCCCCATCCAGAGCCAGGCACTAAAATGTGCTATTCTGGAAGCTGGTACACCATGTCAGCCCTCCCTCCACATTTTCCTGGGTATGTTTCTGTCACCCATGTCGTTAGAGTTCTGCACCAGGAGGCTGACTGCCCCACCAGAGCACAAACATTCCCTTGGTCTCCAAGTTCTTGGAGGAGTGGGGCCCTGTCCACTCTTCCTTCTCTCTTGTTATTCCTGTGTTATTGTAAGCAGCCACAGTTCTTTTTGGAAGGAAGGGCAATTTACATTTTGAGCACAAATACATAAAATTTGCAATATTTAAATGAAGGCTTCATCATTAGCAAATGATTGCTTTAATTACTATCTTAGTGCACAGACGATTGCCATATTTTTTAAGTTATGGCATCTTTTTAAAAAA